CAGAAAAACTATAGAGAAATCTAATGAACCTAATTCTCATTCTTTGAAATAAACAATGAAATTGATAAATCTCTAGAGAAACTGAAAAAAAAAAGAGAAGACACAAACATGAATATCAAAAAAGAGAAAGGCTGTATCACTACAGATGCTAATGACACAAATATCAAAAGGATAGTTGAGGAGTGCTGCAAACAACTCTATGCACATAAATGCAGCAACTGAGATGAAGTGGAAAAACTCTGGAAAAAATACAAACTACCAAAACTCTCCTAAAATGGCACAGATTATATGAATAGTTCTACAACTATTAAAGAAATTAAGTTTGTAAGTAATCATCTCTGAAAATGAAATCTCCTTACCTAGATGGTTTTTGTGAAGAGTTCTACCTAACGTTTAAATAATAACACCAGTTCTACAACATTTTTGTTCAGAATATACAAGAGAAGGGAACACTTCCTAACTTTCCCAACTCATTTTATGAGGCCAACATTACTCTAATGTCAAAACAAAGACTTACAATAAAACAAAGCAAAAATGCAGGCTAATATTTTTTATGAAAACACGTGCAAAATTCTGTACTATGATTTAACAATACTGTGAGTTGAGAAAAAGAAAGGTAGAGAAAAAGCTGAGGGAGAGATACTGTAAAGAACAATACGTATTACGTATAGGTTGTGAAAGAGGAATGTGAAGAGCAAACAAGACGGAAAGTATGGCTGGAGAAACCTAATTTTAAATCCTCTCTCTCCCACTAAATATTTAAGCATTTTGATCAAGGGGATTCCCCTCTCTTGGCTTGACCTTATTCATTTCTAAAACAGAAATAAAACCAGTTACCTCATGAGTTGTTTAGGCCTTTTAGAAAAGATTAAGTGAGATCATAGCGCATAATATGCATCAATAAATGGTAGCTTAAAACCAAAATGGCCAGGCATATGCAGATGAAGCAAAGAATGCTTTACATAATTTTCAGTGTAATCCAGACTCCTATAAAATTGTTCAGTAACTGATTAAATTATTCTCCAAATCTTCTATTGTGTTTCTCTCTACAATTACCTCAATTTTGAAAAATATAATTATAGAGGTAATCTTTCTGAAGCTATAATCTCCTTTTATAGTGCTAGTTCCTACTCTGTGCATAGGCTCATAAAACACCCTTAATGTGTAAAAATGAGAGTGACTCCCCTACCCCAGTTCATAAACTGCCTCCTCCACAGACACTTTTTCCATGTGACCCAAAATTCCCACCATTAGAGTTGCTGACCTTGTAAACTCAAGACACCATTCCTGTCCCCAGATGGCTATTATTAAAATGCCCAAGACCCTATGTAAAGAAGGGAGGAAAGTTGTAGGAGTAGCACTGGACATTGTTTTTGAACCTTGTTCCTTCTGCATTTGTATAAGGTCTGCTTATCACCAATTTGGAAGGCACAGAACATTTACCTCCCAACAGTGAAAGGTAAGTTATTTACCTCCCAACAGTGAAGGGTAAGTTCTTGGGGTCATAACGCCCAGCACCTATCACATGCTTGGCACAAAACAGACATACAGTAGATAATGTTTGACCTAAACTGAACTGAATACACAACTGCAGACAGGCAATGAACTAATGAGTTGCCAGACTATGATGCCCAAGTGCCTCATTGTCCCCGTGTGGTGGGGAGGTTTAGTTCCAGTGCTCTTAAGGCATTGGGTCCTATTGCCCATTTAGAATCTCAGTGAATAGTGGGGGATTCCAACTCCCTTCGAATTTACCAGTCCTGGTCAATTGCTTTCCCCAGAGCCAGACTCAACTTTGGGCATTTCCCATAGGCCATACTGATCTGAGACTTGGCTACCAACCAGTCATAACAAGTCACTGAAACCCAGATATTCAATCATCTTCCCCTGCTTTGCCTCTGACCTTGCACCTCCTTGTACAGCACCTTTAGTCTGGATAAAATCAGGGATGGTATTTGCTGTTTTGTGTACTGGATTCTCCCTAGAAAGACAATCAGCTCAATTATACCAATTAATTATCCTCTGTCCACATCTCCGTCATGGCCACCCTGATTTTGTTAGAATAAAATAACTCCCTCTTTAGACCAGCATAGCCACTATTTCTTTAATCACAATCATTATTTTACAAGTTTGGTGAAAATGAACTTAGGGAGGGACATTGTGTAACACCTCTCCAAGGTTAAGGAGTTGACACTTGTTTTCCTAACTCACAGTCAGACCAGGAGCTTCAAGTTTTCACTTCATGTAATTATCTATCTCTGTTCAAATATACTTCTCAGAGACCCTGACCACCTAGCATAAAATAGACTCTCCATTGAAACACCCCATTATTAGCTACCTACTTAGGTTGCTTTGTTTCTTCATTCCTTGTATACCAATGACGTATTGTACAAGGATGGGTTTATTATTACCCTCCCACCCCACCCAAATGTAATCTCTATGAGAGCAGGAACTCAGTCTGTTTTCTTCACTGCTGTGTCCCAGGGACCCAGGACTGAATGGATAAAGGAACTAAAGCTACACATTAAGTATTTTCTAATTTATGAAACTCATTTTATGGATAAAGTGTTTTCACAAAAACTTTCTGAACACTTACTATGTGTGAGGCACTTAAATAAGTAGTTTACCTGTATTATCCCACTCACTTCTCACAATCACACTATGAGGTAGGTAATATTATCATTACTCATTTTACAAAGGAAGAAACTGAGGCTCACAGAGGTAAACTCTAATGTCATAGAGGTGGTAGGCTGCAGAAGCAAACCCAATTTGGTCTTATTACAGAGTCTTCCTATTCTGTTGCACACAGTGTGTTCCTGAAACACACACACACACACACACGAATCCAAGTCTCAAGCATCTACATTATGCTACACATAAACACATACATAAAAATTTTAACATTTAAATGAGATTATTGTCTTATTTTCTGTCAGCATATGCATGCATGAAACAGAAGCAAAATCAATGCAAGTTCCAGTAAAATTTAAGTTAAAATGTACAATTTTTACTCACATGACTACAAAACTCATATTTTGAAAGACTATTACAGGTGGCAATTTGAGAATGGCTGACTGAGAAGCATAATAGATCTCCAAAAACAGCAACAAAACTTGACAAATTTTTCAAAACAACCATTTAAAGACTGTAAATTGACTAAAAGCACACAACAAATTGAAAGGCATTTATTTAAGAATATCTGCAAAACCTCATTATGAGTAGTAGGACTCTGTGGAGTTTTAATCTAGTGTTTTTCCCACTGTCTATGCCCAGCTTTATTGTGCAGGAGGGCTGCCAGAGTAGTGAAAGTTGACTTTAATTGGAACGAAGTGAAAAATTCCATGCCTAGGGGCATTGCCAAAATAATAATGACCTCAATGACAAACATTTACGGAAGGTCAACATTATGAACTGAGGTCTCAGTACTGATTGGGGTAAGCTATAGAGAGAGGGGCCAGAAATTTAAGACCAAGATCTGGTGACCAGAGAGATAAAGCAGGTCCTATTTATGCCCAGAATAGCTAAAGCAATCTTAAAAAATATGAGTAAATCTTAAAGACTTACACTTTCCGATTTCAGAACTCACTATAAAATTACAGTAACCAAGACAGTAGAACCGTCATAAAGATAGACATACAGATCAATGGAAAGGCATTGAGAGTCCAGAAATAAACCCTGACACATATAGTCAATTAATTTTGACAAAGGTATGAGGGCAATTCAACAAGGAAGGATAGTATTTTAACAAATGGTTCTGGGATAATTGGATACTGACACACAAAAATTATAAATTTAGCCCTTTAACTCATACCATAAACAAAAAAAAATTCAAAATGAATTATAGTCCTAAATATAAAATCTAAAATCACAAAAAAATTTAGAAGAAAAAATAGGAGAAAATATTTGTGACCTTGGATTAGGCAAATATTTCTTGAGCATGACACCAAAAGAATGATCTATAAAAGAAAAAAGTCAATAAATTCAATTTCATGTAAATTAAAACTTTTGTACATTAGAAAAATGAAAAAGAAATTGAACCTTGGACTTAGAGAAAATGTTTGGAAATCATATATCTAATAAAGTACTTGTAGCCGAAATATATAAACAATTCTTAGAACTCTATAATAAAAGAGCTAATATTCAAATTAAAAATTGGGCAAGGGATTCAAAAGACATTTCTCCAAAGGAGATATATGATGTACATAGACATTTCTCTATGTAAGTATATAAAAATACATTCAACATCTTAGTCATTAGGGAAGTGCAAATCAAATTTACAATGATCTAATATTTCATACCCACTAAGATGGCTGCAATCAAAAAGACAAAAAAATAACAAGGGCTTGTGAGAATGAGAAAAAATTGTAAACCTCTTATGTTGCTGGTGGAGTCATAACTTGGTGCAGTCATTTTGGGAAACATTTTGGAAGTTTCTTAAAAGGTTAGGTACAAATTATCATAAAACCCAGCATCTCCACTAAGCAAAAGAAATAAAAACATATGTTCATTTACAGAATGTTACATGAATGTTTATAGCAGTATTATTCATAATAGCCTCAAACTGGAAACAGTGCAATGTCCATCAACTGGTGAATTGTTAAACAAAATGTTGTACACCCATAAGATGGGATGTTGTTTAGATATAAAAGGAATGAAATATTGATACATTCTACCACATGGATGAACCTCAATCAAAAACACTATGCTAAGTAAAAGAAGCAACGTATGGGAGATCACATATTGTACGACTCCATCTGTATAAAGTGTACAGAATAGGAAAATCTATAGAGAGAAAGTTGATTAATGGTTGCCTGGGGTTAGAGGTACAAACAGGAAGTAACTGTATACAGGCGTGAGGGTGATGGCAGCATTCTAAAATTGAATTGTGGTGGTAGTAGCGTAATACTGTAAATGTACCAAAATTCATTGACTTGCATACTCCAAACTGGTGAATTTTATGGAATATAAATTATACATCAATAAATCCATTTGAAAAGACTCTATAGTAGGTTTTGTATATTCTTACCAACAATTACTTGATGAATTTGCTTTGGTGTCAAAATTAGGCTGCAATCATGTCTTTCTTGGGGTGTCAATGGGTCGGATTTAAGTCCTTTGAGAACCTGTCAAAAATTACATTTTCCCAAAATTAATCATTTAATATTAGCAAAAGCTATTTTAACAATTCTCATGGCATAACCAAATAAAATATTGCACATGCCTTTCTTTTCATGGACTCTTCCTCCCTGGGTGCTATATTCTTGGTACTTAGCAATTGGTTAGCTTTAATTGGACACTCTGTTGAAGATAGCTCCTCTTCTACTTCTGCTTCTGAGAGTACGGGTGACTTTAGACCTGATGCTGGCGGTAAGCCTATGTCTGTATCATTATATGAACACAGGAATTCTCTATCAGAATAATAATAATAATAATAATAATAAGTACAAGATATAATAATAATCAAGATACAATTATAATAAGTACAACAATAAGGACAAGTCTTTTAAGAAAATATATCTGTATATCTGAATATTCCACATAGACCATGCTGTTGCTGCCCCATTCATATCCATTTAAGACGGGTGCACGAATCTGCAGAAAATCCTCCTCTGTTGAGTGGACCCCCTTCCCAAACACCATACCAAGGAAGTCATACCACCCCTGCCTCAGGGACAACCCACAGTCAATGACTTATATGGAGCACAAAGACAGGCCCCTTTGGCTCAGGGCAGGAACAAATATGTGGTATAATGTATGCTAAAGAGATCCTGGGCATCAGGCCGAGTATAAATTTCATTTAAAACACATTCTTCCTCAGCTCCCTTCCCTGCTCTATTCGGCTTCCCTCATCCTGCACAGGTTTTTACTGAGAGCACACTCTCCGTATATCACGTTCACTGGAATCCCTGTCTCAGGATCTGCTTCTGGAAAAACCCACTTAAAACATCCCCAAATCAAAAAGTAACAAAGGAAATAATAGTTAAAGTAGTTCAATATTTTGCTTTTATTATATATTAAAATGTCATTAAAAAAGAAACTAACGAGTAAAGAAAAAATTCTGGTTCTATAGTCACCATGATCTGTTGCACATTATTTGAGGAATTGAACTTTACCTCTCCACTTCTTTCTGCAGGCGCTCACTTCTTAAATATTTAATATACTTTGCATAGTAGTTTTGATGTGATCTCTTTTTCATATTTTCAGATTTAGTATATGCAAAATCAGGATCCACATAGTTATATCTTGGAATCTTTGTGAAAATTGTCCTACAGTATGAGCAAGTTACGTTAATATATATATATATATATATATATATATATATATATATATATGCATTTGTTCAGTCATTTGTTCATTTATTGAAAACCTCCTAGCCAATTTCTGTGTCAGGTGTTGGGCATAGAATGGTGAATAAGACAGACTTTAATCCTTTTCCTCATATCCTATTCTACATCAACACATTATTGCATGTAGTACTAGACTGAGACCTAATTTTTTCTTAATTATATCAGAAAAAAAAATATCCCTTCTACTTAGGGTCATTGGGATGTAATGGCACCCATCCTAAATCCATCCTTGGGAAATTAGTCAAGTAGGCAACATGGGCAGTGCTAGATTACAGATGGGACTTCAAGAAACTACACTTGTGTCTGATTAGTGTTTCCAAAAAAGTCAATTGCTTTTAGATCATTATGATCTAAATTAGAAAAAAATATAGAATAATGAATCCTTTCACTAATCCGTAACTTTCTTAAAACCTCACAGCTTATGAAATAACCATCAACAATAAATCTATGCAGAAGAAATAATCAATAAAAGAACTAAAAATTATTTTACATCTCATATTAACTCAACTGGGTTTATGCTCTTCCTTTTATCCACCATACATTTTCAATAAAAAAAAAGTGAAATTATTCATACTTTCTGGAGTTGGTCTATCTCAACCCTCAGCAAATTTTATTAATCATTAGGATTCTCATCCTTGATAATTAACTTATAAGTATAAAGATATTAGCCACACAGTAAAATTAAAATTAACTTAATTTTTCTCTGTCTTTAACAATTTCCCAGTGCTCACAGTAAGACAGTCTTAACTGAGTTAAAGTCTTTTAGAGAGTGAGACAAGAGATAAAAATGCTTTGTTATTCAAAGGCAGTCACCGATATTAAAATTTCCCCTTTAGGTTCTGACACCCTTAACGACCTTTAGAACCTAAAAATAATTTCTATATCTAAATTCCTGAGGTCTATAACAAGGAGAAACAGAGATATGGAAAGGAATAGTGGAGTATATAAAAGCCTTAAGTGACAAAGAGCTGACGATTCACACATCTAAATTTTTATCTTCCTAAAGAATAAACATCTAGAAATACCTCTGCAGCTTGGAGTAGATAATTTTTTAAAAATATGCAAAGTACAGGGTTTAAAAAAATACTATGTAAATAAAACATTTTTCCTCATTTATTTTTTCAGGCAATATTTATTGAGTGCCTACTATATGCTAGACACTGTTCTAAGCACAGGGCATAATGCAATAAACAAAAAGTAGACAAAAATTCCTACCTTATTTTTGTCTCAAAAATTGAAGAGGTAAAATGCATTAAAAATAAAATAGCAATTACAATTACCAACATGTAAATTAATTTTATTTCTTAAAGTAACTAATTGCTAGCCAGAAAATAATAGAACTAAATTTTGTCTTTCTATTAATATAGAAAATAGTTCATAGTTCCTAAATAGGAAATGCTTAGGCTTATTCAAAAATTTTTGGCATTTTTAGATCATCTAATACAAACACACAAAAAATGTTAATATTAAATGACACACTATATCTCTATATAGATATATTTGTATAAGCTTAAGAAAATGTTGAAAAAAGTACAAAAATAATTCTTTCCAGAAGTCACCTTTGCATGGGGGGGGGGGGGAATGCAGTGAGCCAAAGGGAAAGGCATAATTTCCTTTTTTATTTTTTATGTATGTAACTATTTAAAATTTTTATAATATATAACTATAAAATTTTTATAATATATAGCTACTTAAAATTTAAAACATTTCTGTGTTTTATACTAGTTGTCAAATAAGAAAAGAAAGAAAAGCTGATGCAGATGGAATTTGTAAAATAAAATAGTAAGACAGTCTATGGGATAACCTAGAATTTTTTGATTGCAGATAATTTCTATGGTTTGAACACCCCCTCCAAAACTTATGTTGCGGTTTAATCTCCAATGTGGCAGTGGTGAGAGGTGGAGCTTCTGGGAGGAGATTGGAACATGAGGGTTCTGCCCTTGTAAATGAATTAATCAATTCATGGATTAATGAATTAATAGGTTAATGAATTAATGAACTATCATGGGAGTGGAATTGGTGGCTTTACCAGAAAGGTAAGAGAGACCTGAGCTACTGCGTTAACACACTCTTACCTTCATGCCATGTGATGCTCTATACTGCTTTTGGGACTCTGTAGAGACCCCAATAGGAAGAAAGCGCTAATCAGTAGTGTCTCCTCAACCTTGAACTTCCCGGCCTCCAGAACTGTAAGAAATACATTCTATTTCTCTATAAACTACCCAGTTTCAGGAATTTATTCTGTTATAAGCAACAGAAAACTTACTAATATAATAATAAAACAATTATGGCCTAAAAATCAAATGATATCGCAAGAAAATGGCTGCAAAATTAAGTGAGCTTAATGACTCACCAAAGGTAAAGAGACCACTGGAGAAAGTGCAGGACCATTATCAAGTTTAGATAGTCTGCTAGTAGCATAGAAGCAGGCAAAAACCTATTTCAGTCTCAAATATGTAAAAACCATTCCTGGGCTCAGGGCCCAGATAAAGGTGCCAGGATGCCTGAATCACTTCTCATTAACCATTGGCAAGCTAGTAATTTTTTTGAGGTTTGAATATATTTAAATAGAGGTTTAATAACTCTTATGATCTTAATTGGGGAGGTTTTAGTTCAGTTTGGACAAGGTAATTGGAAATGTGCCTTTTTAGGGGGACAAAAAATGATGGGGATGATGATTGCTGTCTCACAATTTTAATTTTTTAACTTAGATAAATTCAAGTGCTCAACCATACCTAATAAGCATGACTACTCTGATGATCTGTATCATTTCCAAATGTGATTATTTCTATCATTCTTCTATGCTTGGCAACAGCATATTTTAAGAATCATTTTGTATACCATTCACTTCTTGGCAAGTACACAGTAGAGGTGATGAGAGGTTAGGTAAAGCAAATACAGTGGCATTCAACAACTATCTCACTCCATGTAAAAAAAAAAAAAAAAAAGAACAACATTCATCATCATCATCATCATTATTATTATTGCCATCATTAATTTTATAAAGCAAGAGCTGGTCAGACCTCTGCATATCATGTTGGTCATTACGTCTTATAAAATTTCAAGTTTTTAATATCATATGTTACCTGAACTGTTCATCATGGTCTCCAGACCTGATACTTGCAGCTCGGTCATTGGGAAATGCTATCATTGCATCCTTCATTAACTCTTTACTTGACTGATGATTATGAATGAATGTTCTGGTTGACTGAAGCATTGCCACAGGTGCATAGTCCTTGAATTTTACCAAGTCTTTGACCACAAACTGTCCCGTAGGATTACTGACCAAAGGAGATATACCTTTTATAGAATTGAATATTGAGTTTATATATGATATTTTGAATTTCAGCTTTCCAAACAATATCCATAAATTAATTAATACACTAGATAATTGGTTCTAACCTAAGTGCTTGACCTCTAAACAAACAAACACATTCAGAAAATACGAATAGCTCATTTAATAAATAAATATACACAAAACAATTTGGCAAAATAATGCATGCATAAATCATATTAATGCATGCATAAAAAGTAAAACATGAAAGTTGACAACTTGAAGAGTTTACATTGGCCCATATGGAACTGAGGTTTTTGGATGTTAAAGACAGTTGAATATCAGCAATTTTACATTGTTCAATAGATAAAAGATTATGAAGGATTAGATAAAACAGCAATAACAAGAAGTTCATGGAATTTTCAAAACCAATTTCTACTATAAACTCAAAGAAAAGTAGAAAGAATAAAATATAAAAACTTTAAAATATTTAATCAACTGTATAGGTCAATAAACCAGTGCTATTCAAAGCACCATCTTCAAAACGGCAGCATCAGCACCTACTGGGAACATGGTAGAAATGTAACTCATTGGGCCCCAACACAGACTTACTTAATAATGAATGCTGAAATGTAGGCCAGTGATAAGTGTTTTAACAGGGCTTATATGTAATTTTAATGCATGCTAAAAGATGAGAACTACTGGATTAGACCACACTTGATATATATCAATAAACAACTAGTATATTAAGATAATCCTTCATTGACAAAAACAACAACAACAACAATAACAACAAAACCAGGTGGGTATCACAAAACAGCATACCAGGGTTAATTTTCATCACAACTTTCTTGGTGAAAGGCTTGCAGATGCTGTTGAAATCTAAATATATGTGATGGAAAGGTTTCATCGAAGAATGCAAATTTTCATCTGCCACTGAGCCAATAATCTCTAATAACTGCTTCACTTTAAAGGTTCCAACTTTTTGTGGAATAAATGAACACAACACATTCTTAAAAAAAAAAGAGGAAAAATAACCAATGTTATATTGCTAGGAAAAAAATAAGAGCAAATCTAAAATATAGTTTATAAAATTTCAAGAAAAGCTATTTCACCATCGTGATATGAAAGTATTTCAGAAATATACAGCATTGACAAATCTTTAAGGTACTAATTATTGAAAAATTATTCAAGAAGAAAATGGAGAACATAATACCAAAGCACTTCCAGAATGGTGGATTAAAGACTTCCAAAAATCCACCTCTCCACAAAAGGAAAGAAAACATTGACAGAAATTTGTCAGAATCTGTTTTTTCAGATATTTGGAAACTACCTAAAGGCTTACTAGAATCCAAGGTGTATTTCTTTAAGAAAAAAAATGACTAAATCTCTGAAGAAATAAAAGGTTTTATAGCATTTCTGCTTGCTGTAATCCATTCTTCTAAACCCCAATTTGTGGCTAGTTGAAAAATGGCAGCATTGCAACTTCAGGAGCTGTGAAACCCATTTGCCTAGCAGCCAATGGAGGGAGAAGAACAGGTTTGGAACTCTCCAAAAGCTCCACCCCCAGAGAATTGTACCTGTTTGTTTTTCCTGGCAGCTAGTTGAAAAGTCTATTATGTGTATATGCCTTTATATGACATGATTCAGAGTTTACTCTGTGTGAATTCACTCCCCAGAGTTTTGTCAAAAATACATGCATATATATATCAGCAGCAGCAATTGTTGAACATCACAACAACCTGAGGTGGCATTACCATTTAGAGTTAAAAAGAGGCTAACAAAAAATAAATGATTAAATACATACATACACACACACACACACACACACACACACATATATAAATCAGAAAAAAAAAAAAACCTTGACAATAAAATATTCATATGGTATTTGAAAAGCTCTGACATATTTCTGGGAATCTAGATTGATAAACATCTGCAGAACTGTGCATACATCCCCCCCCAAAAATGAGAAATATCTAATCTGTCACCTCTGACTGACTTTGAGGCTGTTTACAAGGAGGAACTGAAGGTGTAAACTACCTTTCGAAACATTGAAGACATGCCCTAACAGACTTATGCAGAGGCTCTTGGCATTGATTATGAGACTCATTGGTTCAAGAAATTTAAGAGAAACTTTGTCCAATCATTAGCTGACCACTAAATTAACTAAGTTGAGATTTGATTGTTTTGTGTTTAAGAACCTTTAAAGAATTAGTCTAAAAGTCACTACATAAACAAACAACAGCAACAAATAGCAACAACAATAAATCTTGGGGTGATCTGATTTCTGTAGTTTCCAAATTATGTCGTTTAAAATGCCCAGTTTTCAAGAGAAAAATATGATGCACCCAAATAAACAGGAAAGCATGAACAACACACAGGAAATATGCAGTCAATAGAAAATGTCTGAGGAAAACCAAATGTTGAACTTGTTAGAAAAAGACAATGAGTCAACTATTATAAATATACTCAAGAGCTAAAGAAAAAAAGGTATAAAGAATTTAAGGAAGTATAAGAACAATGTCTCACAAAACAAACAATACTAATAAAGTATAGAAATTATAAAAAGGAACAAAATGTTCTAGAGTTGAAGAGTACAGTACGTGAAATTAAAAATTCACAAGAGGGGCTCAAGAGTAGCTTTGAACTACCAGAAGAAAAAAATCAGTGAACTTGAAGACAAGACATTGGAAATTATCTGGACTGAGAAAAAGGGATAAATATGGATGAGAAAAAGGAAGAGTGTCTCAGAAATTTTGGGACACCATTAAGTGTAGTATCATATGCATGAAGACAGTCTCAGAAGGAGATAAGATAAAGAAAATGGCATGAAGAATAATTGAAGAAATAATGACTGTACAGTTCAGAAACTTAATGAAAAACATTAATCTGAATAGCAAAGAAGCTCAGAAAAACCCAATCAGGCTAAATAAAAGAAATCCATGCCTAGGCACATCAGAGTCAAACTGTAAAAAAATAAAAAAGACAGAGAATCCTAAAAACAGCAAGAAAAAAGTGACTCATTAAATAAAAGTGGTTATGAAAAGATGAACAGCTACCTTCTCATTAACTTCTCATCAGAAACATTGGAGGCAAGAAGGCAGTGGGACCACATACTCAAATATTGAAAGAAATAGACTGTCAACACAAAATTCAATAACTAGCAAAATTATCATTCAAAACTGAAGTATAAATTAAGACATTTCCAGATAAACATAAATGTAAAGAATGTGTTACTCATAGGCTTACATTAGAATGATACAAAAGGGAGTCCTTCAGAATAAAATAAAAGGACAGTTAAGACCAATGCAAGTTCAGAAAAAGAAATAATAAACATAGGTAAAGATAACTATCTACTCAGTTAAATATAAAACACAGTATAAATGTATTTTGGTTTGCAATGTTTTACTGCCCCTATTTGATTGAAAAAGCAATACAGAAAGTGATAATTATTAAATAATTATGTTGATGAGCTTTTAAAAAATAAACATATAATTTAGAGGAGCCAGGAAACTGACATATTGATGCAAGATTTTTGTGTCCTATTGAAATTGTTATTAATTTGAGCTAGACACTTTTAAGCAAAAATGTTAAATGAAACCCACAGGGCAAACACTAAGAAAATCAAATATTAAAAAAGTGTAGTAAAAGAAACAAATGGTTAATTAAAATGGTATATTAGTAAATATTTAACACAAAATAAAGCATTAATAGAAGAAAAGAAAACAAAGAGGATATAAGAATTTAGAAAACAAATAGAAAAATAAAAGATGTAAATCCTACATTACCAGTAGTTATATTAAATGTGAATGAATTTTTTAAAAAAATATTTCCTCCTCACATTATTAAAGTATAATTGACAAATAAAAATTATATATATTTACATGGTATAACATGATGATTTGATATATGTATACATTGTGAAAAGATTAGTCCAATACAATTAGCATATCTATGCTTTTTGGGAGGCGTGAGGACATTTAAGATTTACCCTCTGAGCAATTTTCAAGTATGTACTACATTAACTATACTCATTATACTGTACCATAGATCTCCATAACTTATTCATCCTGTCTAACTGAAATTTTTTACCCTTTGACCAACATCTCCCAATTTCCTCCACCACTTGCTCCTGGCAATCACAACTCTACTCCCTTTATCTATGAGTTCACCTTTACTAGATTCTGAATATAAATGAGACCATGTAGTATTTTGTCTTTCTGTACCTGGCTGTTTCACTTAGCATGGTGTCCTCCAAGTTCATCCATGTTGTTACAAATGAAAGGATTTCTTTCTTTTTAAGGCTTAGTATTATTCCATTGTGTGCATGTGTATGCATACAGACACACACACACATGCACAACATATACATTTTCTTTACCCAAAATAAATTCAATCAATATTTCAAAGAGATATATCCACTCCCATGTTATTACAACATTATTCACTGTAGCCTATGTAGAAATCAATATAGGTGTCCTTCAGTGGATGAATGGATAAATTTAAATTGATTAAACATAGTGATTAAAAGGCAGATATTGACAGAGTGGATAAAAACACACTGCCTATATCGAGTTTACAAGAGACATGCTTCATATACGAAGACACAAATAGATTGAAAGTAAAAGAATGGCAAAAGATATACTATGCAAGCAATACCCCAAAGAGAGTTGGGGTGCCTATACTAATATAAGATAAAATAGTCATTAATTCAAAAACTGCTACAATGAAAAAGTACATTTTATAATGATAAGAGTCAAGACACCAGGAATGCATAATTATAATCATATAAGTTATAATTATACTGACAGAACCCCCAAACATGTAAAAAAGCAGATAGAAAAGAAGAGACAAATATTCAATTCAATGGTAGTAATTGGAGATTTTAATACCCAACTTTCAATAACAGATACAAATACTAGGCATATGATCAACAAGGACACAGAGATTTGAAACACACTGTAAATCAACTGGACCTAAGATACATCTGTAGACCATTCCACTGAACAAAAGAATACACATGTTTCCCAAGTGCACATGAAACATTTTGCAACACAGACCTATATTAAGCCATAGAATCAACTAGAATACTTCAAAAAGATTAAACTTTACACAGTATGTTGCCCAAACACAATGCAATGAAATTATAAATCAGTAAGAAAATGAAAACTGTGAAATTCACAAAAATGTGGAAATTAAGCAATGCACATCTAAAATTGAACAAATCAAAGAAAAAATCATAAGTGAAATTTGAGAATACTTTCAGATAAAGAAAACTAAAATATGACATACTAAATGGTATAAAATGTAGCAAAAGCAGTGGTTAGAAGTAAACTTATAGCTGTAAAAATCTATACTAAAAAGAAAATAATCCTTTAATCAATGAACTAACCTTCAATTTTAGTACAAAAAAAAAAAAAAAAAAACAGAAGAGCAAAGAAAGCTCAAAGTTAGCAGAGGAAAGGAATAGAAAAGACAGCAGCAGTAATAAATGACATAGAGAGAAGAAAATGACACAAAAAGCAACAAACCCAAAACTGTGCCTTCCAAATGATCGATAACATTGAAAACAATTTAGCTAGACTGACTAAGCAAAAATAATAGATGATACCCTTCTGCCTGAAAGCAGCCAAGAGAGCAATGCCCAGGGTCCTAGGAACTGAGAGCAGCCCCCTCTGCCAAGAAAAAAGCAAGAAGCATAGAAAAGACAGCAGCAGTAATAAATGACATAGAGAGAAGAAAATGACACAAAAAGCAACAAACCCAAAACTGTGCCTTCCAAATGATCGATAACATTGAAAACAATTTAGCTAGACTGACTAAGCAAAAATAATAGATGATACCCTTCTGCCTGAAAGCAGCCAAGAGAGCAATGCCCAGGGTCCTAGGAACTGAGAGCAGCCCCCTCTGCCAAGAAAAAAGCAAGAAGCAGAGCACAGCTGGGGTCCTAGGCAGGAGCTGAGAGCAGCCCACTCCACCTGGAAGCAGGCAAGAGAGCATCATTTGGAG